CGAAGGTGAAAACAAAGCAAGTCTAACGTGTAAAGTAAAGAAAACTACTTATCTTAAAACAAGGCCCCAAACGCTGCGAAGAGCTAAAAACCCTTCGATTAGGCTGACCACTCGCTGAATAGGAAGGTCCTGAACGGGAAGAAAAAGCGGCAGAAGTAGAAGACGCCGGTTCCTTTCGATCCACGGGACGGAAACGACGACGCCTTTCCTTCGTTTTTCTCTCAGCCCTTCTCTCCGCTCTGTACATCCTTTTCTCGTCATCAGAGTTTGAAGCCAGCTCGTCCGAAAGGTATTCATTCACCGTTGACCAGCCAAAATCACTCTTATCGGCCATTTTAATCACTTTTATCCTCTTGGAAACAACTTCAGTACCTGAGTCCAAAGCGGCCTTGACCTTGTCGTACGATTTTGCTTTCAAAGCGTCGGATGCTTCATCAAATTTGTCCAGCACTTGGACGGCATGGTCCAGCTGCTGTTGGTTTCCTTTTCTCTTACAGGTGTAACTTTCTCGACGCGCCTTTTTAACGGCTTGCTCGACAGTGGAACTATTCTCCTCAGAAAACCGCTTGGCGAAACCGCCCAGACGATCTTCGATAACCTGCGTAAGGTTATCGGTTAAAGCACCGATAGACTCGGCAACGGAAGACTTAATTAACCCGGCAATGGAAGGGCTGATTGCAGTGCCCGAGTCGTCGTTATCAGTAACAGTGGAAACCGAAGATCCTTGCTCCTTCTCCTTGGGCATAGTGACAGCGAAAACGAAACTGTGGGTTGTAGGCGTTCACAGACCCGAAGGATGAATACGAATGAACAAGACACTTATATAACCATATGCAAACTACTTAACACCACTTAAATACCGAGGAACAAACAGACACTATAATACACCTAATTAACCGTATAAGAACGTGCAGAAAACAAATATCTGCTAAACTGCGTACCGCAGATATTTTTGCATTCTAGCAGGGAAAATAAGCAGTCGAATTATTACAAAAATAACTGAACTTTGAAAAAATAGAAATAATGTAAAATAAATTAGAAATAGCTTCATACACGGTCAAAAACTGCACTTCATTAAATAAATAAATAAATAAATAAATAAATAAATAAGGTTTCTTACGTTTGTGCGTTCTGGTTGTTTACATATGTTTTACTCTTCGATCTGATCTTCGATATTATCGTGCGCACATCACACATATAATACTGATTTGTATAACAGTGTCACTTTAAATAACGTAAACGAATGATAAATACGATATAGCTAAAAAGACAGATATTTTTTAGTTAATATCAGGATTAATATATTAATATATGGTTAATTTAGTTACCATTACCCTTCGCGTGTTTTTTTCCTCAGTACTGCAGCAGTATCCCTAGTGCTTATTATTATTCAAACTTACTCTGGGTGCATGGACCAGGCGTTTATGCCGGGGAATTGCAGTGTTTTCAAGCCCGCAATTTTTTTTTAAGAAAAAATCTGGTGCTCTTTTTTTTCTTAAAAGCTGTGTATTCCTTATGTGTATATACCGCTACTTTCTTGCGCAAACAAAACAGGACATCCCGGGAGGGCAAGATAGGTCACCTTAGCTTGCACGCTCCCCGAGCCAACCATTTAATAACCGCGCGATTTTGTGCTATGCTATGCATAAATAAAAGAATGTTTTTTGTTTGGTGTTTCCTCAATCTTTCTTCTTCCCTTCATGCCTATGCTCCGCTCATTCAGTTAACCTGTATTGATTCGCCCCATTCGGATTTCGGAATCGGCGAAATTTTGCTTGTGCAATCCGGAATCCGGGAAAATATTGCTTGTAGAATCCGAAATCCTGGTCTTTGGAATCCAGAATACAGCTTAAGGAATCCGTAATCCCACTAACGATTGGAATCCACAATCCAAGTTCCAGTTACAAAAACTGAAATCCAGTACCTGGAATCCGGAATCCACGGCTTGAAATCCAGAATCCAAGATTGTCTTAGACTCGATTACAAAGGGCGTCGGTACTTCATTGCGAAATCGATGATTCAGCCCGCCGAATACCAGGGAAAAGAGGCCTCTACTAGCGGTGAATAAGCCTGTTGATGAATTGTTTGCTTCCGTTATCTCAAACAAATACAAAGATACAAGTGATAATGGCAGAAATAACCACAATCCAAACTTTTCTAGAAGCAGTTGTCAAGGCGGAGCTTGTTGTGGGGTACCTAGTACGTTCCAGAAAATGGGTCAAATTTGACGGCGAGACACTGGTTCCTGGTTGGACACTACTGAATAGCAAGACTCCTTTTGATTGTTGGACAGTACTAGATGGCCAGACAGTGTGGGCTGTTGACACACTGGATGCAACTGTCGCAGTATGACTTTTACTGGCGTGTGATATTCCTGAAATAAATTATGAAAGAAATTCAAACATTGCAGATGTATTCACTAAATTAAAATTGGCGTTTTTAATTTGTAAACAATTTGGAATTCTCTACCTAAAAATGTGACAAGCTTTGTCTAATTTGAAACCATAGAAATTGTTTGACCTCTCTTTTGACTAATACGATTGTATAGAGCAATGCTTCCCCTAGTTCTTCAAAATTATAAGCAAATGAGGAGATCATCCTATTCAATTTCAATAACGCGGTCTGGTTTAACACTTTCTATTCTCTGTCCATTTTAACTTATGTACTGTACTCTGTCTTTTGCTGGGTCAAAATTCCCCTTAAATACAATCCCATAATTCAACGCAACATCGGCCCAGTCTCCAGCGCAACCGCACATGACCGATGGCTCTTCTTCTCTTGTTTTCTGTAAAATATCTGTTCGGAGAAGCAAATATTGCCTAGAATTTTCTATTACTTGGGGACGGCTTAAAATTTTAAAATTTGACTGTTCCATTCATGTACAATTTTTCGAAGCTTGGGACATTTTCTACGATTTTTGAAGTTTAATTTTTCACATTTTACTCCATAGGCCAGGCAATTTTTCGTAGTAAAAAGGAAACTTGAAATTTTCGGATTAAAAAATGCGGTGGAGAGAGGAATTAGGAATATCCTCACTTTCGTAAAACGTTAAATTGCATCTAAAATTTTCGGGAAAACAATACTGGAGCCCTAATAATTTCGAACAGACTCAAAATGCCCTAGGATAACCGAACAGATAAAAATTTGACAGCGCTGCCTAGAATGCCTTTCTAGAGTTCTAAAAGTAATCTGGCTAAAAAGTGTTTTCAATGAATGTAGAAGGAGGCCATCGTTGGGTGCCCCTGACTCAAACCAGATGCAAGACGAAAGTATAATTACCTGAGAATATATTGACGAGAATCCATATTTTTTCAAAATGAACTTTCTCCAAACCTGACCCACTCTGAACTTCAACTCTTATCTCTCGGCCATTGTCAGCTTTTTTAATATCAGTCAGCACTAACGCTCCACCCTTCCCATCAAAACGTTTTGTCCAGTTTATGGAGGGATCATTCCCATTTTTGTTCACCGTTATTTCACATCGTTTTGTATTACAGTACGCAATTTCATTGGCATTTGCGTCTGTGAACTTCATGTCAATCACTTGATCCCATGGCAGCTTGTCCGACAAAAACTTGGTCAAGTTAGCTTTTCCTGCTATCCACGTATGAATGCCTACATGCAGAGAGAAACAGAAAGATAATGCCCAACTTAAAATGTCCTTAAAACACACTTAGTCTTCCTACGAGAAGTTTGGTGGGTAATTTCAACGTTCGTTTTCATGTACGTGCAGTGTGAATATTCGAGTGACAAGTTTTGATTTCCACCGAAAAGGAATTAAAGATTTTGATTAGCCCATCTGGGCTCTTGAGGTTGTCTAAGGGACTGTACAATAATTATCAGGAGGGGGGGCTGAAAAACTAGAGGGGGGGCATTACATAAAATTGCTGCTCCTGCCAAGATAGGGGGGCTCAAAGTAAAATCACTCATTTGACGGGGGGGGGCCTTAAGTTTTATTCGAAATGTAGATAAAATTAAACGTAATAAAAGATTCTCAATATAGGCATCATGATAGACTGTAACAAATATCAACACGAACAGCTGTTAAACGATTATTGAAAATATTCCATCAAAATGAAAAGCAAATTCACAACTGATCAATTTTAATAAAACAATGGGAATCAAACAGATCTCGTAGACAAGCTTTGTCGGTTTTTGATGTGAATAAAAGTAACGTTTCTTCATCGACTGAATCGATTTGCTGAATTCCATATATATGTGGCTCATAACAAAGTTCAACAGGCTCTCCTCCCAAGGATCTAAATATAATGCAAGCTCTTTTTCGTCTGTTATTTGAAGGGTTCCATCTCCTGTTCTTTGATTTTTTTCTCTGATCCTTTCTCTTTCTGGCTTCAGAAGTTTTAGATTTTGAGCCAATGTGGTAAGCACCCCGGTACTTAGCAAATGCTTTGTCTAAATCATATCTTCAATCAAGCGATCAACATCCTTCTCGATACTAGATGTTACATAATAACGTTTGTCATTATTGAAGCTGTGATTACAGCTCAGTCCAGTTTTGAGTTTACCAGTGTGGTGGGAGGGGGGGGTGCAACGTTATTTTTAACATAACAGAGGGGGTGTTAGAACTAATTTTTTTTGTTTTGGAGGGGGGGTACTGTCTAAGTTTTTGCTAGATAACTCTAGTTTTTCAGCCCCCCCTCCTGATAATTATTGCACAGTCCCTAACTTATTCTAGTAAAAATATTGATGGATACTCACGGATGACAGTAAATTTGACTTGAAAGATGTGATGCTCGACACTTAGCTTACTGTTCTTGAACATGTTTCGATATCTAGGTTGAGTTTGTTGTTGGTTCTCTCCTTTGCTCCGAGAGGTTTTTCTCCGGGTAGTCCGATTTTCCCCTTTCCTCAAAAACCAACATTCACAAATTCCAATCCGACCACGAGGAATTAGGTAGACCAAGAACCACTTAGTAGAAGTGCTACCTATAGATCGTTATTTATTTATTTTATTTAGTTATTTAGTTATCATACAACAGCTAGCAATACTCACAGATGGCTGTAAAGTTGACTGTAAAGATGTGACGTCTGGCGCCATTCTCTAGCCAAACTTCAAATAAGAACTGGGCGCGGTCACCAGCGTTACCCCCAGCTCTATGCACCAAAGTTATTAAAGTGCCATTAGCACTAACTCGCACTTTTGTTCCATCTGGTAATACTGGTTTTATCATCTTACAGAGCGGGAGACTTGTGCAGTAAATTACATCTGTCCATTTGTCTTTTTGAGAGTATCTCACTTTCCAATAGTACTCAGTTGATGATGAAGTCACCCCGACATTTCTCAAAGCTTCATCACCCGATAAGGTTAGTTTACCGTTGGAGCACGCTAGACATTCTGTAGTCATGAATCCTGAATGGCAAAAAAGATGAGCATAACTTGATGTCAATCCTAAAGATTTTTATTGTCGTTAAACACAAGTAAATCTGCATGATAACGCACCTGTCAATGTCAACTGTCAATGTAAACCCCCGCACCCCCCTCCCCAGGCCGGGACATGGCGGGGTCATTCGACAAGTGCTCACTGCTGAAAAGTTGTAAAATTCCCTGCACCCCGAGGTTAGCTTTTTCTTCTAATTGAAGCTAATTACCCCGCTCATATTCCCCGCTCTTGTTGAAAAAGGTAGACGACACAGGCTAATGAAAATAGTTTAAACTGTGTTTGCCAAGTAACACACGTCACCACATACAATTCTTTTCAAGTGGTATAAATATTTGTGGTGTTTTACGTAAAAAATTTCAAGGAATAAGAACTTCTACATGCTAGTAGAAGAGGGTTAAATGTGAGTAAGTGTAGTTAAAAATGTAGATCAAAATGTGAACAAACACACTGTTTCATAGAATGAGTTTAAAAACAACTTTCAACTATTGTTGACCCAGGTGGAATACCCCGGTCTACTTCCCCGCTGTACTTGGAAAGTGTGCAAAAGTCGTCGAAGTCCCCGATACCTGCGGTCCTTTCCCTCGTCAAATAACGGAAAATTCCCCGCAAATGTCCCGCTATGTCCTGGCCGGTGGGGGGGGGGGGGCGGGGTTTACATTAACTGGTGCATAAAACGGAGTCACTGGGAGAGTGTGCATGCCCTTTTTCGATGTAGTCACTATATCGCCTTTCTAGAAAAAGCCATCATTATATTATAAAAGTAACTAGTTGGGAAGGGGACATAATTGATCAATTCTAATCCTAAAAGTTATTTCTTTTACGAAGCTTCAAAGGATAAATGGTTTTCTAATATTCTGTCTCCTTGACTGACAATGTTGAACAGTGGCTACACAGCCGGGCTGGCTAAGTAGTAAATGGCTTACTCCGACGTTTGTTTAAAAATAAGCCATTTGTGTCTAAAATCACTGTCCCTGGTCCAAAATAACATTGTCCCCCCCTCCCTCATTAAACGGTAATGTATTTTATAATATTCTGAAAACTGCGAACTTATGCGACACTAATCTGGTTTATTAAAGTAACTAGACTTATAAACAGCTGGGACCATGCTGCTTGATGTGTTCAGCGGTTAGATTGCTACTGCTGTTCACGATCAGCACGATGTCAGGGCACTCAACCAACAGTAAAGGATGAGATGAAAAAGCCACCTAAAAGTCTCGAGACGAGTAAAGCTCTCCTATAGCAGTGAGAAAAAAAAAACATTTGAGAGACATCCTAACAGACGAATAGCTTTTAGGGTAGCTTCAACTTAGCCAAGCAGGCTTCTAATGAGTGGAAAAAAACAGTCAAACGGGGGCACCCAACGAGAAAATAGTTCAAAACCACTTTTAAAAACACAGCTTTGTTGAACGTATTTTAGTATTTAAACGATAGATATAGGCATATTTAGTTATCCTCTAAAAATTTTTCATCTGTTCGGATTTTCTAGCTGAAAGTCTAGTGATCCGAAATTATAGGCATCAAAACTTACCTTTTCGAAAATTTCAGCCAGAAAAAAGGCTCCCGAAAATTCTAGAAGACCTTTTTAGGGTAAAAATCCGTTAAAAACGGGCAATTATACTATTGTGGGTGGGTTCGAAAATCCTAGGAGAGGCAGGCAAGCAAGAAATTTAACAACAAATGTTCCGAAAATTCTAGATCAACGATGTGAAAGTATGAGACGTGCCGGGGTTTTGATTCCGGATCGCGAAATTGAAAACCACGACAAAACCCTGACATCTAATTCAATGTACCGCTGTTTTTCAGTTTTCCCCTTCCCATTATTCATAGTCAGCTGACAGCTGAGCTGATAGTATCAATATTATTGTAGATGTGAACAATCGCGTGACCGTTGAATTTAGGCAACTTTTCGATTTCATAACGTGTACAAGATCGAATTTTACTTTAATTATGCACTTCTAGTCAATTTTAAAGTCAATTAACTAATGGTCAAAATTTTAAAATGCCTACAGCCAACCTACGCATGCTGTCAGCATTTTGGTCGAGGGATCACAAAACGAAACTGATACTTTTGTTCATTAGCACTGTTTTTCCTTGACAAGAGAGGTTTTCATGTGTGGGCATTTTGTTTTCACTCACTTATGCACTCATGACAATGAACTGACGGAATACATTTTATCTACTTAAATACCTCATTGACCTAGAAACGAGACAGATTACGTCTCAGCTACATTTTTCTGTGATCAACAACTTTAAATCTAACTGTCTAAATACACTGGTGCTAAGAGTTTTCATTTCAGATCAGACTGTGTTCGATGGAAGTTTAATTTGTTCAAAATAACGGAATGTTACAGAAGAACGTAACATTAACAATGCTGTGTGTGAGCTACCGGTATTTTAAATACAAAGGAAATCCAGCTAAAAATCGAACATCGTTACTGTAATGTATTATTGCTTAATGATCGGTTGTTTTTCTATTTACAGCTGTATTTAGTATCAAGCAAAGAAGTTAGCGCCACTTAATATTCGTTTTAAATTACAATCTTTCACCAATACGGCTACCTGATATGCTCGCTGTAAGCGATACTTTTAGCATTCTTACCTTGTGAAACATTGTATTGAAAACCAAGTGCGATCCAGTAAAATAAAATAATGAAACTCTTCTCCATTTTTTAGCAGTTTAAGCGTAAACGTGACATTTGTGCTGAGAAGGGCAAAGCGCTATATAACTTTAAAGCACTCAGTTGTATTCTATTCTATTCAGTCAAAAGTGATGATTTAACATGACTTTATAAAACATATCAGGGAATTTCCCGGGCATGCAAGGTAATTCCCTTTTCCCAAGCGGAAGACTTCTGGGCCAAAATTTCGCTTTCGTTCGTACAGTTTTAGTTTCAGTTTCACTTTAATTATATTTGCCTAGGGGAACCCACCAACAAATACGTCAGAAGTGTCTCAAATGTAGATTACGAGCAGTCTCTCTTTTTTTCTGTAGTCTGTTGAGCAAAAAGCGAGACACGCAAATGGCCACGCGCGTGCACTCACTGCTCTCACTAAATTTCACGAAAAAGAGAGACTGCTCGCAGGCTATCTCAAATGGTTTTCTCTAAGCCTGTTGGGCTAATTTAGAGCTGCCCTAAAAACTATTTATTTGTTCCGATATCTTAGGGGAAATTTCGTCGTCTCGAAAGTTTAATTTTAGCTGGCATTTTCGTCTAATCCGAAACTGTTACTTTGTGTTAGCTACATTGTTGGGTCCGGTCGAAAGTTCGAGGGCATGGAGTAGCCTTACTTTGATTAGAAGATTCTCTCGGCGGAGCGTTTTGTCTTAACACCGGAATTTTCAGGAGACCTCTTTTAACAATAATCGTAATATCTTGGTAATAAAATGTGGAAAACACCCGAGCACTGGCAGTCTGTCTAGCGGGATAGATACCGAAAAATGCAGAAACAATAGATTACCTCTTGGTTGCGAGCGGATACTGTAAATTTATTCATCATTACTAGTAATGAGTTTTGAAAGCGTAGTCAGTCCATGCAAGGATTAGGTACACGCATCATCATTCCTTTTTGTCAGTTCGAATCTCAATTGCGTTGCAACTTTGCACAGTCTTCCAGTCTTTATAGATATGTTGTGGTTCAATTTTATCCTTGGTTTAAAATTTATTTTCCTTTGGTTTAAAGACAATATCATTCATTACCATACCCCAAAACAAAGGGAAATAAAATTTAAACCAAGGATAAAACTGAACCACAACAAATACATCCAGTGCAGTTTATAATAGTCGGCTGGGTCTGCATTATTTTCTGTATAAGACAATGCAATCTGCGAATAACTTAACTATCAACAAGTCAATACCAAAGAAAAAAAGACTTTCGAACTAAACGACCAACATCAGTGGCCCAGGACGGTGCTCTGAGCCACTATAGAGAACACAGTTATAGGTCACTTAGATTCTTAGACTTCTTACAATGTTTATGACCGCTGTCTGTATTTTTGTTTGTATTTTTCAGTTCGTAAACCAGGAAGTCAGCTTTAGTATTCTTTACATCTATTTGGAATAAAGCGGAGATCGTCTAAACGCTCCACAGAGCTTGCTTGATCTCCTGCCTTGTTAGATTGAGTATGTGAATGTATGGAAAATAAAGGCACCTTTTCTTCTTTTCATTTTGGTGAAGCTACAGTTTGGAATGCGTAGTTGCGCACACTCGTAATCCGGCCGGAGCCGCGCCCGCTCCTCAGCATCAAAAACAACTGAAACAAGCTAGTATCCCATCGCTTATGATAAATTAGTCTGCGTGGCAGGCGTTCGAAAGGGAAGGGGAAGGGAATTAGAGCGCGAGACCCTCCCCAACTCCTTCCTCGCGCGCCCCTCGCGTTACTCTCGCGACTAAAACTCCCTTTCCCCAAAGCTCCCTTTCCCTTCCCTTTCACACGCCTGCCACGCAGGCTAATCATAAATAGGTCTAAATATTTTCAAAGCGACAACAAGATCAGGTTCTATTTTCAAAAGTGGAACTGTAAATCATCACGCCCAGTATCATGCTTTGTATAAAACTTTAATTATTTACAACAACGTCATAAATATAAAAATCCAAGAAATCATAAATACTCCAAATAATTACACCTGCTTTACTAGAAAACCGTGAGAGAAGATGAATCGAAACTTATGAAGAGACCGCTGTTAAAATTGTATGCTTTCAACTATCCAGAGTCAAAAGAAAGAGCACAGTCCTCACCATGTTTTGGGTTTTGCTTTTTTGTTTGTTTTTTTATTTCTATTTTCGTGCTCGCTTTCCCGCTTTTCTTTTCGCTCGTGTCAACTTACCAATTGAGTCAAAGGTTTGGAGCAGAGTAGCAAGGACAAACTACATGCGGACGAAATAGGGTTATTACATGAGTTCCTGGACCATTCCAGTGGCGGATCCAGGGGAGGGGCCCGGGGGGGGCCGGCCCCCCCATTATTTTTGACCAAACTGAGGCCCGAAAGTCCGAAAAAATATTTGAGGCCATCCCCCGGCCCCACTCCCCCGTTATCTGAAGGGCCGAAAAAAGTTTTTGAGACCAGCCCCCCTTCCCCCCCCCCCCGTTATCTGAAGGTCCGGATTCGCCGTTGCATTCAGTCACTTTAACTAAATGGATAAGCTATTCTTATATATATAAGTTTCATCAGCGATTACACTAGGCGAGGCTGACCAAAAAAGTTATAGTTAAGTCGACTGTTCCCTTTTAGCAGAGTCTCCTTTCCGTCGTCATTTCGCTCCATCGCCGATAATAGACCATAAGAAGGAAAGTGCATTCTTCTAGCAGGGAAAATAAGCAGTAGAATTATCACAAAAATCATTGAACTTTATAAAAAATAGAAAAAAGGTAAAATAAATTATAGACAGCTTCATACACGGTCAAAAACTGCACTTCATACGTTCTGGTCGTTTCCATATGTTTTACTCTTCGATCTTCGATATTATCGTGCGCACACATCACACATACTGATTTGTATAACAGTGTCACTTTAAATAACGTAAACGAATGATAAATACGACATAGCTGAAATTAATTGTTTTAGGTACTATAGTTACAATTACCCTTCGCGTGCTTTTTTCCTCAGTACTGCAGTATACCTATTTGCTGACCCCTGCGTTTATTCAAACTTACTCCTTTTTTTTAAGAAACAATCTGGTGCTTTTTTTTTTCTTGAGAGCTGTGTATTCCTTATGTGTAATATGTTTATAATACCCCTATTTTCTTGCGTCAACAAAACGGGACATCCCGGGAGGGCAAGATAGGTCACCTTGGCTTGCACGCTCGCCGAGCCAACCATTTAATAACCCCGGGGTTTTCTTGTATGCTTTGCATAAATAAAAGAGTGTTGTTTGTTTAGTGTTTCCTCAATCTTTCTTCTTCCCTTTATTTCTACTCTCCGCTCATTCAGTTAACTTGTATTGATTCGCCCCATTCGGATTCCGGAATCCGCGAAATTTTGCTTGTGCAATCCGGAATCCGGGAAAATATTGCTTGTAGAATCCGAAATCCTGGGCTTTGGAATCCGGAATGCAACTTAAGGAATCCGTAATCCCACTAACGATTGGAATCCACAATCCAAGTTCCAGTGACAAAAACTGAAATCCAGTTCTTGGAATCCGGAATCCACAGCTTGAAATCCAGAGTCCAAGACTGTCTTAGACTCCCTTACAAAGGGCGTCTGTGCTTCATTGCGAAGTCGAAAATTCAGCCGTTAGAGCGCAGAGGCCTCTTTTCTCTGCTGTTCGGCGGGTCTCAGGGTATTATTCTTTCCCTCTTACCCGCCGAATACCAGGGAAAAGAGGCCTCCGCTAGCAGTAAATAAGCCTTTTGATGAATTGTTTGCTTCCGTAACTTCAAACAAATACAAAGATGCAAGTCATAATGACAGAAATAACCACAATCCAAACTCTTCTAGAAACAGTTGTAAGGCAGCTTGCTGTGGCGTACCCAGTACGTGTTGCAGAAGTCACATTGGTTACTGATTGAACACTACTGAATGGCGAGACTCCATTTGACTTTGAGACAGTACTAGATGGCCGGACAGTTTTGGATGTTGAGACACTGGGCTGATCTGTGGCAGCATGAATTTCACTAGCATGTGATGTCATTCCTGAAATAAATTATAAAGCTGAAATTTAAACATTGCAGATGTAGTCACATGGGTGGCTTGGCTAATTAGATTTTTTAATTAAAAAAATTGGAATTCTTTACCCTGGACGTAACGAGTTCTATTTTTGAAACCATAAAATTGTTCAACGTTCTGTTGACTAATATAGTGTATAAAGCAATGTTTCCCCTAGTTCGTCAAATTTATAAGCAAATGAGCAGACCAGCACATTCGATTTTTATCAGGCGCGGTCTTGTAAAACTCTTTCTATTCTCTGTCCAATTTAACTTATGTAATGTACTCTATCTTCTGCTGGGTCAAAATTCGTCCCCCAATATAGTCCCACAATGCAATTCAACACAACAGACTTTGGTAGCCTGCGTAGCTGACGTCTTAGCATTAGATAACATCGGGTGAAGCCAGCGTGGACACCTTATGAGGTTTACTCAACGCATTTTTGTCTTAGCATAACGCGACTGAAACAGAAACCCCAATAACCTTGTGGAATAGCTGAAAAAACTTCAGAGCGACAGTTAAGGAGGGAACATACTTAAGAGTTAAGCACTGATCTGCAGTGATTAGGGTTAAGCACTGAACTGAAAACCTCTAGCTTTCAAAAACTGTGATGGGTACGGGTACATGCACATTTTAAAAATTACTGGATTTGGCAGCCATTCCTCGATGGTGTAGTGGATATAGATGAACGTTATGAAGCTAATGACCCGGCTTCAGAGCATTCCAGGTGTGTTTATCTATCTTATTTTATATTACACTGTTAAGTTGGACTTAAGTTGTTCTTCATTTAATTTTCCGCGCTGAAAGAAACAATGGCTTCAGCCGATGTTACCTAATGCTAAACAGCTGACGTAAATTGTTGTTGTTGTTTTTTTTTTTTTTTTTGCGCGAATGAGAGCTTTGCGAGCCGCCATTCAAAGCTCCGCACGGCTTTGCAGCTCCTCCACCAAAATCATTAATTTAAATGGCCGATGGCTCTTCAAACTCAAACCCGATACATGTCGAAAGTATGATTACCTGAAAATGTATTTACTAGAATCCATATCAAGTTTTCTGGATGAACTTTCCCGACACCCGACCCACTATGAGCCTCAACCCTAATCTC